TGTGGATTCCACCCTACCTCTCTCCCCAGTTGTTCTAGGAAATCTCAACCTTCTGAGATGCAAGGCAGTTACTCTTTCTGCAAAACTAGAAATCCAGGGAAAAGCCAAACAGGGGATGGATAGGGGAAGAGGGGATTGTCCTTACCTCAAACTAGCAGTTTAGTGTGGCTTTTGACTGTGAACTTGAGACGGCAGTGTCCCTCAAAGAAATTGAGCCCTAGATTTATCAACCCGTTTCATGCCCAAAAGTTCAATAACTCAGGAACAATCAGGCTTAGACGTCCAGGTTCACTCAAGGTACACCTTCCAGTGTTTCATGGCAGTGAGGAGTTTGAGGTTTAATCGGTTGTGAATTCCAAACGAGCCACTGGACAGTTTCAGTATCTAATTAGTGTAAGGTTTTTGGCTGGCAGCCAGCAAGCCATGTCCATGAACCTAGGCTAATCAGTGCTATCCATTGTGCATAGGGGTAAGGGGGCATATTATGACACCTCCATAATCCCTGCCAAGACTTTCATAAAGCCATGCCTATGCCAGTACTGTCTTCGGTGCTGATATTAAAGTTATGAAGGGTATTTAAAATTCAACTGTCCTTCAAACCTGTGTGCAAAAACTATAATTACCAGTTGTTGCTGACCTGAATTGCCTGACCATTCTCTTATTTCTTACCTTATCTACTGTGTTCTTCATTTTCAACTCAGACTGACTGACTACTGTCTGCTCGCCGCCTGCCAGGACCCATGCTTGAACTAGACTTCCCGCTCATCTCCGGTTGAGTGTGGTGCCTATTCATTGCCGACATGGACTGTCTGACTATGGCTACCCTTTGTTTGCTGTCTGCTAAGACCCCTTGCCTGATCCTAACTATGCTCTGTCTCCTGTCTCTGCATCCAAGCGACATTTCTCCCATGTCCCTTGGGGGTGAACCTGAGGGCTGTAACCTGGTGTCAGCTTGCAGCACAGTAGCCTGAGGACCACTAGGTCTCCTGGCCCTACTACACCATCAGGAGCTCTGTTGAAATTTAGCTGGCACTTGGATTCCGTGCCTTGGGGGTTAACCCTTACCAGGGGTGAAACCTGTAAAATCCTCACTCCACCAATCCTTGTTTTAGTGGCAGAACTATCATGGATTATATACTTCAGTGACCCCTTTGTACTTCTACCAGTAGAAATATTGTAGAAGATGCTTGAACATTAGCAGTGACATCACAGTCACATAATGGCATCATCCCATCACACCTGCAATGTTACACCTTTGTACTACAGCATAGTTAACATATTTTCTGACAGACAGTGTGTTATACCATGGTGTATGAAGAATACTTTTATTATGTTACTTAAATCATCCATATGCAGTATACCTCTTAAAAGTTGTGCATCACCTTTTTATTTATTTATTTTTTTAAAAAGCACACAGTATGTGACATATCTAGGAGCTACTTGCATTGTGCACTGAACAAAAAGTTTTGATGTGTCATACTTTCGTAATTTTAAGGAGAAAAAAACATGTTGGATATCCAATTGTAAAGGATTGAATTAACTTGTTCAGAATTCATAGCACATGTGCAGAAACACATAAACGTTTTAGAAGGTGCTTTAAACCATAGCAATGTGATTTGCTTTCTTTTGCATAATTTTATATAGAAAGCAAATGACTTTGTAGTACCGTACTTCTTCCTGCATGTTCAATTTCAGAAATGTTACCATGTTCTTCTGTGGATGGGTGAATTAAAGGGAATCTCCAAGAACAAGAGGAATCCCTGATTAGGGAATCTTCATGCAGTTACACACTCTTCATTGTTTCCTAGTACACACCAATGGAACCTCAACCTCACTGTTACATTATTAGCAGATATCCAAACAGTAACACACAACAGGTTGTCCGATATCTTTTGAGTTTTATGACTGTGTTGTAATATATGATCTCAGCAGCAGGTGATGAGTGCATGTGAATTTGGTACATCCAGAGAAAACCCAAGAGCTACAAAAGGGGGAAACTGGTATGTTTATACATTACATTACTATTTGATTTTCCTGAAAATCCATTCTAATGCAATTCTGTGATATGTGATAATTACAGCAAGAATATAGTACCGGTAATTAGACAGTTCATAAGTCTTTTAAAGTGTATGCAAACACAAAATATATTTTTCAGGATGTTTGGCATCATGTCAACTGTATACAGTTTTCTTAAGCAAATTTTTTTTTTTTAAATTGTGAATCCTTTTTATACCTGGAGATCCTGCAGTAATCTTGTAACAGGCTGACAACAATAAGTCGCTACTCCACATCTCACAGCAGCATTTTCTGCCTGTTGGCCATTCAGCTGCTTATTAGATGTGTGGAACAGGCAGCCCGACAGCCAACTTAAGCTTGTGGAGCAGGCTGACAACGCTGCTGCCATTTGTGCTCCACCCATGAGGGGAAGTTCCGCTTTAAGTACTGGTCCCCCACTCCCCGTGAGGAATTGTCAACTTTGGGGAGAAGGGAGGGGGGGGTGTGGTTAGCTGATTTTGACAGGTATCCGCTCTCACTTCCACTGCGATTGCCTAGGCGATCAGAAGCTAAAGTTGCCCTCTCTCCGTATAGTCTTCTGGGACACGTGACAGGCCCCAGAGGACTAGAGGATCATTCACAAGGTGCAGCTCTACGTGCGCAGTGGGCACCCAACTGTGAAGCTCTCACAACCAGGTGCCCATACTTCAGATGCTGGCGCTGGGGAGCGAGAACAGCCGGTAAAGCCGACTGCAGTGAGTACATCGCTGGATCATGGGACTGGTGAGTGGCTGTTCTTTAAAAGTCTGCAGTTACAGTTTTTGTAGCTGCTTTTATTTCTTTTTGTTAGCTTTGACTGGAGCTCCATTTTAAGTGTTGTCTGCTTGTAACAAGAATTTCTGTTACTGGCAGGGTCTTCAAGTAAGAAATGTTGCAACTGATTCACATAAAAAGATTTTAATTTTAATCACCAATTCAGGCCACCATCATATAATCATCGATAACGGAACCATTCCATTGGTGCCTTTTATTTCTGACTCTTGCAGTTACTGTGCTACAATGAGACTGCACAAAGGCAGATGGCTAGCTTTGCTCTGTTCACAGGCTGCATGTCATTCATTTAAAATTAATGTTTCAGCAATTTAAAGGTATATGCTGGCAACCCAGCTGCTGGGTACTTTACAGTACTGAACAGGGCCATGCCCAAAAGGAAATTGATATTACATTGAATGTAAATCTGGACAGTGATATGATCATTAAAACCATGTTACTTCAACAATTTGCTGCATGCTCAAGTTTTTTTTTTTTGGAAGTGTCATGTTCTTTTTATAGGACCAATAAACCTAAAATTCCAGCTTGTTTATAATAAAAACGGTTAATAATAACATTCTCCATAAGACATGAATTTTCAGTACTCTATTGATGGACACTGCAAATCAACTCTTAATGCGTTTCCCTGGCCTTACATCAAATAGTAGAATGCATTATATTATTCAGCAAATACCATTCTGTGAAATACCTCAAATTCTGATGGGTCTGCATATTGTAATCAGTATGGAGAATTTATCTAAACCTATCAATGAATATTTGGGTACGTTTACCTACATAATGGTGAATTACTGTATGATTATATTAAATGTTACTTTATATGAGACAGCTTGAGTTTAGGTTTATTGACCCTTGGTAGTTCCTTTACAGCTGGAGTGCTCAACCCCTGGTCCGTGGAGCCCTCTGATGTGGCCCTCAACCTCAAACCAGGGAAGCATATGCCTAGTGTCGGCAACCCATCAATTGCGATCTGGGCTTGTCAACCCATCATCCAAGAGCATCAGAGTGCATTGAGACAGTGCCAGCAGCAGATGAAGCAGACAGCCATGGAGCGAGCAGAAGTGATGCTTCCTCTATAGTGCTGGTTCCTGTCCCAGACCGAGTGAAACCAAGTGCACTTCACATGGGACCTTTGTGGCAGCCTGGAGAGCAATGCCAGCAAAAGCTTTAAGAGGAAAAGAAAGTCGGTGTATTAAACAACACATAGACTGTACTTTTGCAATTGGCATATTAGTACTAAAAGGGTTAACAATATTAGGATGCTTTCACACTGATCCACAGATGAAGCACAGTGCACCCGCAGCATTCCTGTGGGTTAGCTGCACTGAGGCATAGACTTCTATCATATCCTGTGGGTTTGGTGCACTTTCTGAAAGCACATCAAATCTCCTGAATGCAGAAGTTTTGGTGTGCTTTCAGAAAGTGCACCACACCCACAAGATAAAATAGAAGTCTATTGCAGGCCATAGATGGTTTGTTTATCGGCCGATTTTTCGTACAAAAGAATAATTGGCCGATTTTGGCACTGTTAGTGGGGCAATGGCATCAGCTGATTTTCATGGTTCCTCCTCATTTCTTTTATCAGTCATGCTGGAAAATTTGTGAAAAACGGCCGATTTTCGCAACCATTGGTGGCAACAGAATGACCAATGTTTCGTTTTTTCGGATGAAAAATCATCCGATAAACGAACTGTCTATGGCCTGCATAAGGCTAAGCTCAGCTAACCCACAGGAAACCCGCAGGTGCACTGTGCTACACCCGTGGTAAAGGTCAGAGTATCAGTGTGAAAGCAGCCTTATAGATGCACCAGGGGGCCCATGTAGCCTCTCTGTCACATTTTGTTTTACACTTGGACAGAAGGGGAAATGGGGGCAGCATATACAGGAACCAATCCTCTTTATTTTCCTCCTGCAACCGCTGAGAGCTGGCTTCTTCTCCTCTCTCTTCTGCAGGTATTCAACAGCTACAGGAGAAAAATGTTCATTGTGTTATTCAAAATAAAATTCAAAATTCTGAACCATTTTATTTCATTGTGGCCTGCGATCAGTTACCAAATCACTTAAGTGGTCCTTGCTGTTCAAAAGGTTGAGTACCCCTGCCTAACAGGAAAATATATCATTATAGGGAATGTGGTCCTTCTTTCCCCAGTAAAGGCCACATAGAATTCCAGGTCCCGCTAGATGTTCGGGTCTTGTTGGCAAGTAGAGCCCTTACTGACATTGGCAGGCTCCATCAATGTGGAACACATGGAGAGGGGAGATTGCGTGCTGGAGACCAAGACGTTCACAAACTGGTCATTATTACACTGTCTCTCCAGGGTTAATTTAGCTCGTTTACCCATGGTGAGGATCCCTGCAGCTTGGTTCCCTGAGCCTTGGAGCAACCTTTGAAGCCGTGTCTGTAGACTCTGAGAACTGCTTTTCCTTTTCCCCAAGGTCAGAATTCCAGCAGCATGGTTGCCTGATCCACGAAGGAGGTCATACAATCGACAAGAACAGGTCTTCTGCCTACAGCAGTCTGGTGCACTGTCTGACGTCAAGGCTAGCGAGCAAAGAAGAGCCAGGACCAGCACACAGCAAGTCTTCTTCACCTGTAAAAATCAATAGTGATTTAAATATATTCAGTGGGAAAATTTGGAGGAACTGAACTGTGTATAGTAAAAGGTAAGCAGAGAACTAATCACCAGTATTGGTTATGGTCTCTCTCTAGCCAATCTTTTCCTAATTGAAGACTTACCATGCCTTGTTCCACGCTCTGTTTCTGTATGAATGTGGTGGTGATATTGGTAAAGGCAGGGCTTTGCTTCCTCATGTCAGAGCTGCCAGCAAAAAGAGCAACAAGTAGCACATCCCCACCCCCCCAAATCTCCCGAACTAGCAGTTAGAGACAATATTGGCCTTTAATTTCATACTGCAGATATTCAACTATGAGGCTGCAGGAACAAGAATGCCTAGACACCCTCACATACCAGGAAGTGTACTGCTATTTTTCAGGTGGAATTCAAGACAAAAGGGTATTTTTTCTGGATACTGCTGAGGCACAAGTAACATGTTATCTATAGCACAGCAAACCTTAACTTTATAAACTTAGGCAGAACTCCAGGCATTGCAGTGTAGATATAAGTAAAGTCTTGGGAGGTATAAGCCACTTCAAAGCCACCACTGGTTCCTCTTGCAAGCCAGACCAAAACATTGTGCTTACCTTTGCCCTGAAGGCTAATATAGTTTTAAATATTTTGAAGCAAATTCTTGATTTTTCATTGTTTGCAAATACAGCCATTTTCATATGAATGCAGCACTGAAAAAAACACGTATTTTAATACAAAACACGGAAAAGGTTGCATTTGACCTGATTTTCTTGAAATGCAAAGGCAATAGGACAAGCTGTGTCAAAATTCAGTGCAAAGCAGGTCATGTGCAGCCTCACAAGGGGACATCTACACTACATCAGTGATATACATAGAATCGCTGATCTGCATATAAAACTCTAGTTGGATGCAGGTGTAGGGATCTGCTTCAGGGCCATCTTAATGCATGGGGGCACACCTGGACATTGCCCAGGGGCCCCAGGTGCATGGGGGCCCCATGATCAGGGCCAGGACAAGGGGAGGGGGGCAAGCACTGTGTTTGAGGGGTGTACAAGCAATTTGGCTGCTCATGAAGCTCCTCTTTGACAGGAGTAAACTGCAGTATCACTCAGCTTTCTCCTCCCTCCTGCAGGAGGTAGAAGAGAGCTGGCATTGGGACTCAGCTCACAAGGGAGGGTGGCACAACTCTGTTGTAAGGGGACACTGTGATGGGGTTTCCTGATGTTTGGGGATACCTGATGTATATGGATGCTGTGATAGGGCCACCTGATGTATGGGGACACTGTGATGGGGCAGCTTGTACGGGGACACTGTGATGGGGGCAATGTGGTGGGGTCACCTGATGTATGGGGACACTGTGATGGGGACACCTGATGGATGGGGGCAATGTGATGGGGTCATCTGATGTATGGTGACACTGTGATGGGGATACCTGATGGATCCAGATACTTATGGGGACACCTGATGGATGGGAACACTGTGATGGGGAACACTGTGATGGATGGGGACATCTGATGTATATGGACGCTGTGATAGGGACACTTGATGTATGGGGGCACCTGATTTTTGGGGGACACCTACTGGATGCGGACACATGGTGTATGGTGACACTGTTATGGGGCACCTGATGGATGTGGACACTGTAATTGGGACAATGATACATATGGGCACTGTGCTAGGGGAACCTGATATATGGGGCGCTGTGATGGGGATACCTGATGGATGAGGACACCTGATGTATATGGGCACTGTGATAGGGAAACCTGATGTATGGGGGCGCTGTGATGGGGACACCTGATGCATGAGAACACTGTGATGGGGACACCTGATGAAGGCTGGTAGGGGCCCCAGTGCATTACTTTGCCCAGGGGCCCGTGATGCTATTAAGATGGCACTGATCTGCTGCCCTCCAATGGCGTCCCTAGGGGGGTGTGGGCCGCATCGGGTGACACCATCACAGGGGGTGCAGGAGCAGGATGTGAAGGTGAACTGTGAAGGTCCTAGCCAGTTATAGGGGTGATCCCGGATTCCCGGAAATGAGTATCCCGACCCATAAAGATATGTATCCCCTGAAGCAACTGCGCATGTGCTGGTTTCAAGCCGAAGAAGCAGATCGCCTATCTCCGACTTTAGCACAGAGCTGCCACAGTTAATCCCTTACAGGCTGCAAACCACTGAAGCTGATCCCGTGGATCACTATGGGTTGCAAGATCAGTTAACCCCGTATAGGTTCTATTGTTGCATGGTGGGGGTATATTTGACTGCTTTCCTTGTTATCATTAACAAATTCCATACAAATGATTGTATTCTCTGAAAGGGGTGGTACTGGAAGGTGAGTACGGTGTGGAACCCAGGAACGCTGTTCAGAGGTAGGTAGGGGGCGGAGACAAGGGGTGACTCAGAAAGCAGTTCCTGCACCTATTATCTGAAAAAAAAGCCATGTTAGTAGGTGAACCTGTTTATTGCAATAGTTTATATACAACTATTGTTATTTTAGTTAACCTTATATTTTCTGGTCTGGGATTCTATAGCTAGCTTTTGCTCAGGGCTCAGCAACCATCATAGGTAAGAGCCAGGTTAGACATCCGATGGCTACTTCTGATAGTTAAAGATCTGGTTGCATGTCAGATTAGAAACTACTAGGGACTAAACGCAGAGTAAATAGGTTGACTCTGACTTTCAGTGCCCCACCAAGGAGGATCTTCCAATCACCACTAATCTTGTCTTCAGGTTTCTGACAAAGACGGATGCCATATCGCGATCATTCTCAAATATTTAATATCTACAGTATATATACCTGGTATATGTGTACAATTCCACTAGGACTCCTGGTGAGCTCTTTTTGTACATTGGATGTACTGTATGTACTATTAATAATCTTTTCAAATATAAAGCTTGTATTATCTCCTTGTGTGTATATACTTAAAATGGTACATTTAGAAATGTTAACTGTAGCTAAGCAGCAGCCTAAAAATGTATGTTTTGTTTCCAATCCCTTCTAAAAAAAATCACGGTACACTCCTTAGTATGTGAGTGTGGCTAGCTGAATATCTGCATTATAATGCACTGCTACCTCTGACCGTTAGTCTCAGGAGATTGAAGTGAGATTTTGTGACGTTACTACTGTGCCACTAACTCTTCATGTTGCCGAAGGTTTGACATGAGGAAGCAAAGTCCTGCCTCTATCATTATGGACTCCTCCGCATAGAGACACAGTGCAGAACAAGACATTGTAAGCCAGTAATGGGGAAAAGATTAGATCCAGGGAGACAACTGGTGACTAGTTCTTTGCCTTTGCCTGTCTTTTTTTGAGGCACAGCTTCCATTGTTTAGTTCCTCTTTTAAAGCGGAACTTTACCCATAACATCTTGATAAAAATAATGCTGTTTAGCAGGGAACATACATTCCACATTAATAACTATGCTACCAAAACGAGTGTGCGCTGTAAATTGCCTCCAGCATTGCTCCTGTTTCTTCTTGCTGGAGATTGCCATTTTGCTAAAGCCCAGAGCCCCAGAGCAGCAGTAATTCTTTAGGCTGTCAGCCTCTAGTGGCTCTGAATTTTGGCACAGTGCCGAGAATAGAGAGCAACTGAACATGTGCAAAGCAGGGTGAGATAGCACATTAATGGATTTTAAACTGTATAGGCACTTATTTTTAATATTTTACATAGCTATATCTGCAAAAGGGGCCACACTCAAGTGGTCTAGCAGGAATTAATTTTCTGACTAAGGTTTCACTTTAAGAATGGGCGAGTGAAAGTTTTTTTTTTATGTTACTAGAATGTTGTTTTTCTCCCTGAACTCCAGTAGCATTCCTCCTTCAGGAATCAAGTTTAACTCTCTTGAGAATACAAACATGCCAATAGACTTGCGTACTAGATGGTTCATGTGTTAGTTGTTTTTAAATGTTAAAATGAGTTGCACAAGTATTCATTGTAAAGAAATAAAATCAGTTAACAGCATGCAATCAACAGCTTTCAGCTGTACATTGTTGTCTGCAGTTGCTAGCTGTGCCCATAATTGATTCAAAGTAGTGGGGTCCCAGGATTTTCTATGGGCTGAAAGATTAGTTGGTACTTTATTCTTCTTCCAAACAGAGCACTCAAAAATAACTACAAATACTGCTGCATGGCAGTGCCTAAATGTTATATCCTGGAGTTCTTTACATGTTCTTCAGAAATACTAATTTTTGACTATTGACTGTTTTAGGCAACACAAGAAGTTTGTATAAACAATATTCAGCTTCACAATGGAATACTGGGCACGGTGTCGTATGCTGTAGTTCGGGGGTCAGCAATCAGTAGACCGTAATCTACCAGTAGATCTCGGCCAGGTGGACTGGTAGATCATGTTCTGGGCTTGCTGACCTGCTATCCTAGAGCATCAAACAGAGTGCAGTGCAGAGGGACTACTGGTAAAGATGGAGATGTAGTAGGGAGCAAGAGCCGCATAACAGGGGTGTAGAAATGTTTGAAAAAACTACTTGTTTTCAGGGACTAAATCAGTGTCCCAACCTACTTGTCCCTCATGAAAATCTACTTGTCCTGATAAAAAAAAATATAAACTTATATTTTAACCAAAACCATATTTAAATCTGCTTTACGTAATATCTGGGGCTTTTAAAAACAAAAGGGGCTTTATGGTGACTTAAACTTTTATTATTTTTATCACTGTTTATCTCCTCCTCCTGCCTGTCTCCAGCACCACACCCAGGGACTAGTAGGGATGGGAGAGACCTTGCAGTGTAAAGAGCACCGATTGGGTGCTCATCAGGAAAGGGGAGAGTCCGGCTTTGCCTTCATCCCCTTCGCAGAGCTGTTTTTGCGGGTTTTTTTGCACACATTTAAAAAATATTTTAAGTCCTGAAGATTACACAAAACTCCAAACCATGATATATTTTCTGAAATCAGAGATCCTAGACCTAGAGAATAAAATATTGGTAGTTCCAATTTTTTATGTCACACGATATTATCACAAAGGTCT